ATCTATCATGTAATCATGTGATATAAACATGTGATCATGTGATATCATGTGATATAAACAGATATAAATATACTAATAGATGTAAATTTCTTTCATATACTAAAAGATATTTATATCTATTAGTATATTTAGAGATTATATGGAGATTACTGATCATAAATAGGAAATATTTAGGGTTGAGTCATATGATTAAGATTAAACTTAAAGTTAATTCAGATTTTAAAGGAATAAATTCAGGATTAAAATGAATTGGCCCTGTGTTCTCTATATATTTAATTCCTGATCAGGAATCTCTATTCTAACTAAATTCCAAAAGTTTATTATATCATTAGATAAGAACCGTGAAATAATATCTGAATTTTAAGTAACACAAAAGCTCCTACAGTATGAAGTACAGTAGTATTAACCCACTAGTTAAGCATCTAAACTAAAGATCCTGCTTCCCACTTGTGAAGTCTGAATTAGGAGTACGTCACGTTCGAATGCTGTGTTGTCGGAGCAAAATGAACAATGGTGGATGCAAGGTTCGTTCTCACCTGTAAATTATAACTAGACCTCCATTTTTGATGACCGTAACAATGTATTGAATATGTTTAGGATATGTTTATATGATAAGTTTGGTTTGAAATTGATTATTACATATTGTGTTGAATTATTTTCTACTTAAACAATAACACAACTATTAAGCCTGTCATTTTTTTTTCCGTGTGGATTTGCTATAAGGCTATTATAGTGCTATAATATTTGCTAAAAGGCTGCATTTTTTCCTTTTAACAAGCATAATATTTTGTACAAACATATGTGCCACTCTAGCTTTGCAGTGTAAATGTTATAAACCTAGAAAGGTCAAAAAGTTTAAAGTCAGGGATATTTCCTCAAACAACAGTCTTTGTATAAACTTCAGAAAGTGTCAGTATTTCTTTTCCATGAAGATGAGTTTCATTAATAAAAAAGCTAAGTGTCTTTAATAAACATATATAAAGTCTTTATAATAAGATCTCTTTCATTAACTTATGAACTCTTTAATGAAAAAATAGAGTATCTTTAGTACATACAATTTACTGAATAAATTATAAATTAACATGAATTAGTCCTAAGGTTTACATTTAAAACAAACTTGCAACATTAAGAAACACCTTCAGGCCTTTCACAGCCAACCCCATATCTTCAGTTGTTGTGGAATGACTTCATCATTCTTTCAAAGAGGGTATTTGTTGATTTTATTTGCTCCATGATTTCATCATGTCTTTGTTGAGTTGCTTCCTCACACTTTTGCAGAACAGCTAGTAATTGTGCTTTGTCTTCTTGTGCCTTGCTTTTGCACTTGAGACTGAGCATGTTGTCAGTTGTTGGAGGTGGCAAAGGTGAAGGACTTGACCTCTCGGAGTCGGAGGATGATGGATTGGAACTGGATTATGCAGAAGATGGATCTTCGTCAGCAGAGGCATGCAATGGGGGCTACTGTTGCAGATGTGCCTTGATATATGACCTCTGGGCACCTAACTATACTTCCTTTGCAGCGCATACAACAGGGAAATCAATGTCATAATTCCCCCCAATAAGTTTGTTCATTTCTTTGAAGAACTGGAACTTCATGAGCCCTTTCCCTGTTGAGTCATTGGTATCTTTGGCCTTTTTATAGGCATCCTCCAGCACTGACCACTTCCTAGCGACTTTGTCCATCTGAAATTAATGCTTTAACCGTTTGCTCAACTTAGTCGCCATTTCCTGCCAAAACAACTGCTTTTGTTCTCTGGCCATTATTACTTTAGAATTCAGATTAGCTAGGTTGAGAGGGAGATCTGAATGTTCCTTGATCAAATGCTGCCACATGAGGTCTATTAAGAAAGAGTTCAAATGTTTAATTAAAATTCATAGATACACTGGAAGACACCAGGGTGGTTCTCAATTTGACTACTCAATATCATTTTGTTAATAAATGGGTAAAGTCAAAATAAACTTGCAATACACTGATGTACAATACACAGCACTGATGCATGTTGCTGGTATGAGGTGGAGAGAAGTGGGAATGCAGAGGGAACGCAGCTGTGCACAAAGTAAACATTGCATCCAAAATGTGAGCTAACATAACATTAATAACATGCACCGTTCTATCGGAAGAGTAGTCAATTTGCTATGGACAGAATGATAAATAGCAATGTTCTATATCAAGTTAAATGCACATAGATTACAGAATAATGTGTACAAACAACCATTAACAACAGTTACACTGTTATAAATAAGGAATTATGTACCATCCAATATTAAACCTGTCCTCTTCTCCGCCTTGTTGAAAGGTTGCAGGTCACCTCAACTCGGGAACTCTGGTATCAAAATTATCTCCAAATTTCCCACCAGAAATTACGATTTGAGGGAGTGTTCATGTGAGGGCACCTTTAGTGTGTCTATTATTATCATCAGCAAACTGATTTTGATAAAAGTCCCTAACTAAGGTTAATCCCGCTTTTGAAATGAAAAATTGAAGTCACACTAAAAAAACTTAAACAAAGGCCTGTATTTAACTGTGGTGTTTTTAAATGAAGCAATTAAAACATTAACATATTTGTTTTTTAAACTAATGGAAGTTGCACTTTTGCACACAACTAAAAATAAAATGCACTGTGTTTCTGAAAATATTCCAGATATTTCTTACATAACCCACTCACCCCATAATAGATTTAATTACTTATATAATGTTGATTTAAATAATCTGAAACACAAACCAGAAGTTATTGGATATTACTTTTTTTTTATAATGAGCTGTTTGTGGTAATTTATATCAGATTTCAGCATCTGTTTCAGGATTTGATTAGGATTTGATCAAGATTTGATCATTGCTTTGCAAATGAAATGGATTCTGGATATTTTACATCGCTTTCGATGTTTTGCAGCCCATGTGTCAAACACAAGGCCCATGGGCTACGTCAGGCCCGCAAAATTTTAATTTTCTATTAATATTAGCAAAGATGCCAGGTGTCTAGTTCAAGTGAATGGGCAGTTTTAAAAAAACCTACTGTAGATTGGGGACATTTAAAGAGGTTTAACAGGTTTCCAAATGTATGAAGATGTACAGCAATCATATCAGAATCAGAATTTGCATATGTATCTACAGCTAAATTCCTTTATATTATTGAAAACAGTAATTTTGAACAATAATGTATTTAAAAATTTGCTCTGCTTTAAGGTTTTGCATTTGAACCACTTCTATAGTTCTCTGCCTCTCTAAGAAAGTGGCAGCCTTTCAGAGGCTGGAGCAATTCAGGTGAAATTAACAGTTATTCCAGGGTAGCTGAGAGAAGCACCAGAATAGCCTAAATACTAAAAAGTGAAGTGATATATGCGAGTATATATAGAACTACACAAAAGCACAATAGGATGCACTGTAGTATTCAATTATTTTTGCTTCATGCATAATTTGTTTGACAGGTCACTAGATAAGGAGCTAACTTAGTCTAGTTGTTATTATCATCAAACTTATTTTGATAGAAGTCTCTAAATGAAATAAATGGTGCTTTTGAAGTGAACAATGCTGCAGAGCTGCATCTGCACACTGTACAAGAGCAAAAAGAGTCAGAAAGAGAGCTAGATAACAACATTCACCACTGCAGCTCTTTATGTGTGACTCACATCCACAACTCAACCATTCTGGAAGAAGAAAACAAACTCTTACTGCGAATGCAGTTTATCAATCACTACAGTGTTTCTTCTTTTTGTTTGCTGTGATACTGACACAGAGAAAAGTGATGAACACAAATTACAGATTTAGGCTCTTTCATTTAACACTTCTCTCACTTCTTACCTTCGTACAAAAGAAATACAAGCATATTAAATACAAACTTCCTTAAAAAATACAACATGAACATAACGTTGAAACGATAAAGCACATATTCACTGTATACATACAACAAACCTCCCTTAATGTATAACTGTATAACTCCTCTGAACCACAATGCTTATTTATACAACTGTACAAATATTCATATCATCCTATTACTGTAAATAATAGTGTATTTCCTCTGACTCTGCATAAAGGGCCTTTACATATTACATATTCATCTCTTTAGCTCCTTTCACATTAGCTCTTTTATAACTAATCTCTTGTATATTCTATTTGTTCTATTTTAATTCATTGTTATTTGTCTTTTTTTTTTCTTTTTAATGTTTCTTATCATCTGTGGACTGGTCTGTTTAGTATGATATATGTGTGCCCACCCCAAGACTAATTCCTTGTATGTGTAACATAACAAAATAAAGTGATTCTGATTCTGAAGTAGATGACGTTATGTTATATAGCATGGCAGAATACTTTAAACAGCTGTATTGCTAGCCAGTTTTAAGACTGTTTAAGATTTTAAGCTTGTTTAAAGTTGGGTAATTTACCACAGCATGACTAAAATCAAAATTAAGAAATGAAAAAAACACCTATTCATAATTTCTGTGATGCAATATACTCCAAAAACTAACAACAATGAAGAGCATACAGTGAATTAAAAAAAAATAAGTAGTTATACTTTTATGCAAATTATATGTAAATCAGATCATCTACATATAGAATTGCATACACATTTTGACTCATCAGTACAAATCAAAATTATTATAATGCAGACATGGATTGGTTCTGGAACATACCTGAACAGTGCCATTGGTGAGATTTGGTCAAAAGACTCATGTGTCCCTCATGCACATTCTACTGTCAACAAGAGTCGCTCTCGGTAAATGTCCACAAATGGTCACCTTTCACTCAGTTCTACAATAATGAAAATACCCAGTTCCAACTAGTCGAAATACTATAGACAACAATCATGTCTGTTAGGATAGACTGGAGATGGGCACAGAAGTCCTTATCTCATGTCACAGCACGCTTCTTAGGGAACAATCACTCTCCAAGTGTCACAAAGCGCATCAACAGTCTTTAAAGTCTCTGAAAATAGTGATACGAAGTTCATGGATGAGTTGTAGCTTGGCCTGTATGCAACTTTAGGCCACATAGAACAGGTAAGAATAGGCCATACTGAGGAGAGGTCACAGTACATCACTCAGATAGCTTGATGTCTTGCAGTGTCTTGCCCACCACAGCAAAAACTTCACTGTTGCAGTCTTCCGAGTCATATCTCCTTTGTTGCAGCTTCTCGATTGTTTTCAATGTATATTACAAATTAAACTAAATTTATGGGGAATCTGAAGTACCACTTTTTCCCATTGGTGACCAGGCTGTAGGCTTGACTTGGTATTCAGCACAGGAAATTAGATTTCATTTTCATGCTCATGTTTCAGAAAGAGTGTGAAACAACAATAAAACAGTTTGAAATCTAGGCTGGAACCACCATTCCCTTGAGACTTTGGAATGTGTTATGGTTACACTCATTACTGCCCATTTCCACCACTGCTCTTAGTGCACTTGTGTGTTGTCACAGTACTTGAATGCCTAAAGCTCTTTCCACACTCTGAGCAGTAATACGGCTTCTCTCCTGTGTGAATACGCTGGTGTTGCTGGAGATGACCCTGTACAGTAAAACTCCTTCCACATTCTGAGCAGTAATACGGCTTTTCTCCTGTGTGAATGCGCCAGTGTTGTTTGAGATGACTCTGGCGATTAAAACTCTTCCCACACTCTGCGCAGTCATATGGCTTCTCTCCTGTGTGAATGCGCTGGTGTTGTTGGAGAGAACTCTGCTGAGTAAAACTCTTCCCACATTCTGAGCAGTAATATGGCTTCTCTCCTGTGTGAATGCGCTGGTGTCGATGGAGTGAACTCTGCTGAGCAAAACTTTTCCCACACTCTAAGCAGTGATATGGTTTAACTCCTGCGTGAATAAGCTGGTGTGTTTGGAGATTACTCTGTTGAGTAAAATTTTTCCCACACTCTGAGCAGTAATACGGCTTCTCTCCTGTGTGGATGCGCTGGTGTTCTTGGAAATGACTCTGACGGCTAAAACTCTTTGCACACTCTGAGCAGTGATACGGCTTCTCTCCTGTGTGAATGAGCTGGTGTTGTTGGAGATGACTCTGACGATTAAAACTCTTCCCACACTCCAGGCAGTGATATGGCTTCTGTCCTCTATGAATGCGCTGGTGTTCTTGGAGATGAGTCTTTTGATTAAAACTCTTCCCACACTCTGTGCAGTGATACGGTTTCTCACCTGTGTGAATGCGCTGGTGCTGTTGGAAATTACTCTGTTGATTAAAACTCCTTCCACACTCTGAACAGTGATACGGTTTCTCTCCTGTGTGAATGCGCTGGTGTTGTGTGAGATGACTATGTTGAGTAAAACTCTTCCCACATTCTGAACAGTAGTGATTTTTCTCCTTGCTGCACTTCTGTGTTCGTCTGTCAGATGTGTTCATGTGGAGGGTACCAGATGACATTTGTTGAGTAACGGAATGTCTTCTGGATGCCATATTCTTATATGTCACCTGTTTTCAGCAGCATTCCACTTTGTGGAATGTCCTTACGTGTTTACAGAAGCACATTTAAGACTTGAAACAGGACATCATATGTTTCTGGAAAAAGAAAAAAGAAAATTTTAACTCAATGTGAAATGCAACAAAAGTAGTCTGATCCAAATCCTGAAACTTCCACTTACAGCAACTGGCATAAAGTGTAAAGAAAGAATAAACTTCCAACAGACATAGAAAAATATTAATACTTATTAATGAATCTTTTCAAACAGACTATAGACCACTGAAGGTGTGTCGTCATTCTGTAGTCATGCCCATATTGGAAACTCCGGAGATGGATTTGTGATCCCTGACCCTGTGATTAACAAAAGGATTCCAAACTCAGTATGTTTTATCCTTTGCTTTACAAGGACATTAAGGAGCCAAAATATAAATTTTGCTGCATGCATTAAATTTTTTTTTCCCCCCTCACAGCTTATTTGACTCTTTAGGCCTTAATCCAAGTGATGTACAGCCTATTTCTGAGCATAATAAATCATGTGATCCTTCAAACATCCTAGGATGCTTACACTTCATAGCAGTGAGCTCATCTGAACAGCTGACTGAGGACGTGAAACTAAAGACTGACTCTTACAAAGCAAGAGAATATAAAATATATCTGAATAGCTCCTGCTATAAACTTCCACTATTTGAAATGGCATTAAGAAATGAAAGGCAAGAACAATAATTGAAGTCAAGACAAGCTCTGCAAGACCAAGAAATATCGTTTTTCTTTGAAAAAAACTGCTTGTAGACTGGTCAGGTATGCAAAGCAGAACCCCCACCTCACTGCCAAAGACCTGCAGGAAGATTTAGCTGGCATGGGAACAGTGATGCAATCACTTCAGCGACAATCATTATTGACTCTGAGGGTGCCCAAATTTTCACACATTTTCACACATTCTTTTGGGGTTTTTTCCCCCCTACAATATATAAATTTACAATATATATTTATACAAATATTTATAAATATATAAATATAAATTAAGCAATAAATGGTAACACTGCAATTAAATTTGTAGAAATACGTTATATTTAAGTTTATTCCATGCAGATGTTACATTTCATTCAGGAAATCAACAAAACAGTTCATCTGACCAGGGGTTCATAAAGTTATACTGCTGTATAAGAAACATTCTGCCAATGTTATGGCCAGACTGTGTTTGTTTTGTATTTCTCTTTATTGTCTGTATTAAACATCAGACATATATTCTTCAGGGTTGGGGTGTTACAACCCCAATGGCCTAGAATCCCTTCTGTGCGATGTTTGGGCGTTGCATGTTTTTATTTGTATGTATTCTTTTTTATTTAGGCTGCATTACATGAATGTCAGTAACTGCCTGTGAGGGGTGCCTGTAACAATGCTTTGATGTGCTGGAAGGAGTGAGGACACTGGGAGCAGGGTATAGATGCACAGAGCTTTCTTTTTATTCCACAACACAAACACTTAAGCTTTTCAGCTTGTACAACAAAATAAGAACTGCTTCAATTGTGACTTTTCAGCCTCAGTTCTGCTCAGCTCACCTTGTGTCTCTCCCAGTTTCCGCCTGCCTACTGAGAAAAGACATAAGTAGGTTTGCGATAACAACACACAGGTGAACACCATCAGCTTCCTCCACCTTCCACAATAAATCTTGGACCAAGAATTATAAAGTTCTATCTGACATTTTATCAAAATTGACTTATGTACAGTACAATGATGTAGTGCTGAGTGCTGATGTGTTTTTTTTATTTTTTTTTAACATTGTAAAGTCTGTATTATTAAAATGTTCCTCTTTAATAATCCCACATTAAAGCATCCAGTCAGTGCCTCTGATGAATGTGGGGGATAACCAATCAATTATTTTTTTTTTTTTACCCAAGTCCACAAACTCAGCAATAAAAAACTAGCAACTAAAAACTACTTTGTTTAAGAATAATTTTGTTAATCTACCAGGTTAAAGCAGACCTACAAAGGTGGTCTGCCTCTTTCTTTAACAGTCTGTTAACATGAATATATTTGCCCAGATTTCTTTTTCTCTTCTAATGCCTTTTTATTTTTTTTCAATAAAAGCTTTCTTTATTATGATGGATAAGATTATATTGTCTTTTATTTGGTCAGGAAAAAATTCCTAGGGTCAGGTTTGGTCAGGAAAAATTCCTAGGGTCAGGACAAGTACTCTTCAAGTATCCCAGGTTAACAGGGAAGTTGGGCCTTCCTAAATTAAGATATTATTATTTGACAGCAAATTTACAGAAGGCTTTATTCTGGATTCATAAACCTGAACTAGACTGGTGTAAACTGGAAGCAAATTCCTGCAAGACTTTATCCCTTCCAGCTCTGATGTTCTCACATCTTCCTTTATCTGCCAGGCAGTGTACTTCAAACCCAGTGGTTTTATCTACATTTAAAATCTGGACACAGTTATTCCAACACTTTAAACTTGGTAATATGTCATTAAATGGACCTTTACTCAGTAATCACCAGTTTACCCCCTCCAGGATTGACTCTGTGTTTGGTTTTTGGAATAGACTAGACATTTCTCACATTTTTATTGGGGACACTTTTGCCAGTTTTGATCAGCTATCTTAAGTTTGGCTTGCCCTATAATCATTTATTTTGCCATGTTTCATTTTGTATATTTGATAAAAGTCATTGCTTAACCTTGTCTCACTTACTCTCTCAAGATTTACTGGATGATATTTTGGGGAAAAAAAAACTTTTTTTATTTGTAAATTATATAAACAGTTATTACTACAAGGGGGATGACCCACAATCACATGTTTGTGGGAAAATGAGATGGGAATTGTGTTCCAAGATACCTGGTGGGGAAAAGCTAGGTTTGAAGTTAGTCATCTGTCTTCTTGTGCTCATCTCGATCTTTATACAATCAAATGTGTAAAACATTTGTGTAAAACAAGACTTTCCAAATACATCCCAGAAATAGATCCTATTTGTGACAGGTGCTTACTAGCTCCAGCTGATCTCACTTACATGTTCTGGTCCTACCCAAAACTTAAAAATTATTACTTATTGGTCCAGTTTTTAAACAGAATTCTTAGGGATGTGTGTAGACCCCTGTCCCATTGAACTATTTGAATTATCTCCTTTCTTATTTTCAGCAGTTACCACTTTTGTCCATAAAGTGACCATTTCTGACAGAAAGCCATTCTCATTATTTAATTGCTTAACCACATTATGCACTTAAATCATCTTCTTTAACTTACATTTATTTATTTTTGTCTGTTGCATATCTCATCACATACATCATGACAGTGTTTTTGTTTTGTTTTTTTACTTTTTTTTTCATTTTTCTTAGAGCAACAGTTTTTGCGTGTGTGTGTGTGGGGTGGGTTGTTGAACGTTAATGGAATATCCATATTGTTAATGTTAACTCGCACACTGTAATGTTAGCTGCCAAGCATCCAATAAAAAAAAGATATGTACCAAAAAAAATATATAAAAAACCGTGTCATCTCTTGACTGAACTTGAAAAAGAAAGTAAGGGAGTAGAAGTACTTCATTAAAATTAACTCAAGTAAAAGAATTATGATTTAATTCTCTTCCAAAAAGTACCCATACAGGAAAAATGTACTCAAATAGTAAGTATTAGGACACTTTCGTTTTTGTTATTTAATAAAGTTCCACTGCATATAGCCACTTAAAATTAAAACAGGTAATGGTAAAGTCTTTTGAACTTAATCTTATAAATACACAAAAAAGTATGTATTCATAAACATAAACGACAAAAAAAATGGAGAGAGAAAAGTATTCAGACACTATTAAACTATACATATGTAACAGTTAAAAAATAAAATAAATTAAGTTCTTCATATTAATGCTGCTAAAATGTTCTTGTGCAAATTGCACCTAGTGTCATATGAAAGACATTGCCATCAGCTGGGAAGATCTCACGCAACAAGAAACAATCACAGCGAAGGTGAAGGAGCTTTCTAAAGTTCTCAGGTCGCCCGAGGAAAGACATTGGACGTCATGGTCAGCAAAACTGTTTTGATAATATACAGCTGTAATATTCATGGAATCACACCTAACGGCGAAAAATGCAAGATTTTCCTCAGACTGATGACGAGAAAGGTAACAGAGAAGCCAGCAGTCTTTTAAAAAGTTGCAGGACGACCTGAAGCAGCAGGAACAGTTACACAGAGAACAATTAGCAATGAACAGCACCGCAATCACTAAAGCCTGTATAGTTGATCGGTTATTAGGTTGTTAATCCTAGATGGATCAGAATTGGGCGTCTGCTGTGCTGCACCAGCGATCCGGCTGCTGGAGGATTTTGTACAATTAGCAATGCAGGAGGAATAAAAAGGAGCCATCAGCTCACATTACTCACACATTACTATACGCTGCTTCTGTGTTGACGTATCTATTTTAAACCCATCAAATCTTATCTTCTAAACTCAAATGTGTCTCCAGCTGTTTGTCTGAGAGTGAATGAAGAACAGTGAGTGTTAAAGTGTCGGACAGCTTCCTACCTTCAACAGTTCAGTTTTGTTCCTCCAACAACACTGTATGAGCGCGGAGGCGTGGACTGCTGAGCACAACACAACCTTCTGCTTCTCCGCTTTAGTGCAGTTGGAGATAGACAGTTGGTTATAGTTACAGAATTAGCGCCACAACCTGGCCCGAAGCGGCTTCACGCTGGAACCACGATATCACAGAAACAGGCGTAGCGGTCGTTATTTTAAATCCCACCCGTATTCAGTCAAGCCCCGCCTCCAGCGCTCTGATTGGGTAACAGCAAAGGCTCAACTTTGGGCTGAACAGGACTGTTTACCCTGCTGACCATTAGAATCATCAGGATTAAAACCTGATGGTCTTGCTTTCTAATGGGAAATGGCTTAATGGTTACCATTAGAGACCACTAGTTTCTTGTAGGACACCTTTAGATCCCATTTGGAAACCATCTGAAATCAGAACACCTGCTAAACCATATGGTATTAGAATCTATTACACTGTGATATCGACCCATTAGGAAAACAGCGAATACCATTAGACACTATTGGACACCATCAGGACCTTTTAATGGTTTCTATGATTTTTTTTTCAACAGGGTAGAAGCTATTAAACAGCTTTTGGAGAAAGGAAATACAATATAACGAAAAATATAACGGTCTAAACTCACCACAAGAATTCAACCTGAAAATGCATCAGTTTGAATGGTTATAATATAGTTAGAGAAGAAAATATTATTAAGTCCAACTGGTAATTTTTTTCCCCTGGGTTTGATAGTGAGAAGTTGTAGATATTAATGCTTTTATATATAAGTTACAAAAATGAATTCTTGCTTTATCTAAATATCACATTCATTAAAAAACTCTCCATGTATGTCAACACTGCATAGTAGAAGTGAAACGAGCACAATTAATGAAAAAAGACTTGCAGTGTCTTTCCTGTCTCTTTTCTCGTCTCACTCCCTCATTTAACAGAGCTTTTCTCACCTCATGTCTGTCAGTTTCAGCCTCTTGTGTCTCCCTCCTTTCTTTTTTGATGTCTACCATAAAAAACACAGATCTAACATCACGCTTGTTCTCTTATGGTTTAATACCTGGAAGTACATCATGTTAGCTATTAGCAAGTGGACCATAGGAGCAAAGTTACTGGAGTTAATAGGAGTGAACTTACTGCGTCCTCAAAACAAACCTAATATCTGGTTTTTTTGGGGGGTTTTTTTCACATAACGATGAACAGAGAAAAAATGAAAACTACTGCTTGAGGTTCAAATGATTCACGATTAAATGTGGTTCCAGCGTGAAACCGCTTCAGGCCAAGTGGTGGCGCTAATTCTGTAACTGTAACTTTCTCCAACTGCACTAAAGCGGAGAAGTAGAAGATTGTGTTGTGACAAAGATATGTATAAGGTAACCCAAGATGGTGCATTCCTATTGAAGTGAATGGGACGAAAAAGGATTCAGTTCCTGTCTGCGTAAGTCTTGCGTCATCGCTTCGCCCGGGACTGCGTTCCCGGAAATATATTGTCATGGAGGCTCTCGGCTGTATGTGTCTTCACTGGTTGTGCTCAGCGCCTCCGCGCTCATACAGTGTTGTTGGAGGAACAGAAACAAGAGCTGAACTGTTGAAGGTAGGAAGCTGTCCCGACACTTTAACACTCATTGTTCTTCATTCACTCTCAGACAAACAGCTGAGACACATTTGAGTTTTGAAATTAAGATTTGATGGGTTTAAAATAGTTTGGCCAGCACAGAAGCAGCTTCATTCAAACGTGGCTGAGTGAGCTGTTGTGCCAAAATATTTGATTGTTTTATTGATTTATTTATGATTTAGACTGTAAAAAGAATATTTGGAAAACTGTTAAGAGCATTTGTACCATATTATCTAGTGGATGTTACAAATGTTGTTTTCTTTTGAGCCAACTTTGCCTAGTTAGTTCTAAAGACATGTCCCTCAGAAAAACCTTTGTGATTTTTCGTTTATCTCTTGTGCTTCTGTTCTTTTGTATGTTGATGTAATTAAGTCCATTAAATCATTATTAATCATATTATTGGTTTAAATGTAAATGCATTCATAGTCAGGAAAGCTGTAAAGATGAGTCCCCACTACTGGCCTTCATGAGTTTCTCTGATCCATTGTCAGTTTGTGAACAGATAAAGCAGGTCTTACTGTTCACTTATAAAAACAAATATGCAAAAAGAATCCATGTATATTTAGTGACTGACGCACTATATAGACAGAAGTATTGGGACACCCCTCCTAATTTTTGAGTTTAGGTGTTTCAGCCACACTCATTGCCAACAGGTGGATAAAATTAAGCACATAGCCTTACATTGTCGATAGACAAACACTGGCAGTAGAATGGGTCGTACTGATGAGCTCAATGACTTTAAACATGGCACTGTCATAGGATACCACCTCCACCACAAGTCAGTTTGTGAAATTTCTATCCTGCTAGATCTGCCCCTGTCAGCTGCAAGTGCCATTACTGTGAAATGGAAACACCTCAAATCAATAACAGCTTAGTCACAGAGCGGTAGACCACACAGACTCACAGAGTGGGGCACTTGACTGGCCCACACAGAGCCATGACCTCAACCCCATCGAACACCTTTGGGATGAACTAGAACAGAGATTGCGAGCCAGGTCCTCTCGTTCAGCATCAGTGTCTGACCTCGCAAATGCTCGTCTGGATGAATGGCCAAAAATGCCCACGGACACACTCCAAAATATTGTACAAAGCTTCCCAGAAGAGCTGCAAAGGGGGGACCACCTCCACACTAATGTCTATAGATTTAGAATGGGACGTCATGAAAGCTCCTGTGGGTGTAATATGTTGCTGTCCTAATACCATGTAATGTATATGCTGATATTATCCAAGGTGGGTATAATTGTGTAGTTATAAGTACAATGTGGTGAGGAAATCGCAGTTTGTTATAGAACAGTGTGAAGTACTTCCTGAGAGCTGATAATGTCTGGGTGGGGGTTACTGGTCAATGGCTGGTAGATTTAAGAGCTGGTAGGAGTGTCTATGGTAGGTGTTTGAGGTCTGTTTAGAGGGGGTGTAGTGTGTGAGAGCCATTCAGGAGCTTGATGGTCTAGTTCAAATATTCCCAATCCCAATCCTGGGGACCACATGCTCTAATTTTTTGTGAATAAAGTGTGTTAGATAAAGGAAAGCATGAACTTGTGTGTAGTATGGGGTCTCCAGGACTGTGACTGAGATCCTCTGGTCTAGTTCTATAAATTTCCTGAAGACTGGTGGTAATTGATCTTTCACTTTCTCTCCAGACAGCATGAGTGTACAAAAGCTGCGATGGGATGGTAATAGGCTAATATTCACAGTGAAGTCATTCTTTCTGCCGACCTTTACAGTCTAAACAGTAAACAGTACCTCAGTTATTTGAATACAGAATTACTGGTCTTGTTGTTTGAGGTAAAAAGATGCATTTATTTAATGTAGTCAATAGGTCTGTTGCCATGGCAACATCTAGGGGGCAGGGGTTTATATGGCAAACATACAAGTGAGTAATTGTCAACACTTTAACATTTAAAAAGATGTAGGCCTTATATATTTGTTCTAGGCTGCCTAGGCTGTTAGTTTTCGATGTAGTTGATTTTTCATTTGGGAGTGTAATGTATTGGATTGTCATTTGAAAGTCCTTAAAAATGAGAAGAATCTAAATATGTGCCTCGTGTTCTTGTGTTAACGTTACTATACTAATGTTTGCATCATGCACACGTGTATGTGAACTTGGGGTGTAATGACATTTTTTCAGGTTTCATACAGTTTTGATTCTGAGGTCAAGATTCAGTCTGATACTCAATATTTTGTTTGTTAAAATGTGATGATTCTGCAGAGCTCTAATTAAAGAGATTGGTTGGGGTCAAATAAAAAAAAAAAAGTTCACCAGTAGAACTTTTTCAGTGCCGCCCACACCAACCTCCAACAAAATAACCAACCAGATCACAACCTCTGGAATTTATAAGTGCCTCAGAAATAAAATCCAGTCATTTTAGCATTGGTGTGTCAGTAGCATAAGTCCCAACCTGAAGCCTACATTTTGTGGACAACCTTCTAGCCCTCATAACTTCAGAATGGTTTAAGCTACAGACATGGATCACATAAAAGAACACTCAGCAGACCTGGCCCTTACTAGCCAACATGTGATGTCAGCATCAGCGAGTGATTGGGCTCGAAAGAAACCAAAAATCCTGATATTATTCCTCTGCTTTTAGCCTTCATATTCCAACAAAGGGTTAAAACAGCTGCACGAATCATATCACAGCAGTGAGCAGACCCTGCCGTCACAAACCAGAATGATTTAGTCCACCTGTGACCATCCAATCCAGCTCCAAAATCACTCAAAACCCACTCGCTACTGTTATATAGGGTTAAAAATAGTGACATTCACACATCAAGACCACTCAGCAGACCCTGCCCTCACCAGCCAGAGTGGGAAACTCACCAGCTCAACTCAAACCAGCTCTAACTAACCCATAGTCAGAAATCCAGCACCAAACACAGCCAGATCCACTGTAAAACCTGCTGTTCGCTCTCTACTTTCAGTCAGTAATCCAGTTCAGAAAACCACCATTCAAATCCTGCATTTATGTCCATTTAAATGCCCTATTTAAATTCCTACAGCATATGCTGGATCTGGAAATTCTCCTTGTGTCTCAAACAATCCTCTGACAGAGACTCTGAATTTAGTGCTGATGATGAGAAATTTACAGATAAATACAGATAATAACCACACCAACCGTCAGACTCAGGCACATGAGCTGATGTCCTGTCAGTGCATGCTTCACATGCTCTCTGCGCTGTTTCTGCGCTGAGTGAGTGAGGGAGGGGCAGAGTCACGTGACAGAAGACACTGTTCCAAACCACAATTCAAACAGAATCAAAATTCTGTTACACTGTTACAGAATTCTGTTCACAATTACATGTGAAAAAATGGAATATTTGAGTAGCCCAGGGTCTCCTGAAAATAACAACATATAGCATGTGTGACGGTCTCATGGCAGACTTACAACTGCAATTGTAATTGTAACTGACCAAAATAATTACCCCAAATCACCCTAGGGTTCTAAGGGTTAATGCCAGATTTGATGCCTCTGAAATTTATTCCAAATCCACAACTCAGGCAACAGATTAATCAGAATAGGAATCGGGCTTTATTGACCAAGTATATTTGCACATACAAGGAATCTGTTTTCTGTAACACAGAACCCTGCAGTTACTCTGTAAGGGAGAATAGAAGTTCACAGACAGTAACACAGAAGATTTAAAGTTTGGACTTTTGAACAGCATCAAATCCAAACTAGAACATGGACACACAGCAGAAACAGAAAACATGAGCTGAGGCTGTTTTAACTGATTGAAAAAATGCTCACTTAACAGTATTACAACATGCTTATCTCAAGTCAGCAGACTCCAACTACTACTGTGGTTATTTCTGTATTACCATTTGGAAAGACTGACTCTTCTGTTGTGAGTTTGAATGAGGTGCGTTAGTGGATGGTTGTGGAAACATGGTTTATGTTGTGTGTGAGTTTGAAGGGGTAGAGTGAGTGAATGGGTGTAACTAAATGAGATTAACTGCTGCTGCAGTGATTCTTAGGAAATGAGTCCTGTCTCTGTTGGAAACATGCCCCAAAATGGCAAAAATGAAATGACGTGAAAAAAATACAGGTCAACATTTGAAAATGTATACATGCATATTAACACATCTACAATCTTTCACATGAAGTCTGAGGCTAAGTGAATGCAACAGTTTAAATATGATATTTTTACAAATTTACATGCAATGTTACAATTTATTTGCTAAATTTAATAAATTAGAGGGGAAAAACTAAAAAAAAGTGGTGTGGTTGCCAAGTTTTGGGTACCCGCAGTCAATCAGTGGTGATTGTAGCCAAAGAGTTAAATTTTTGTTTCATTAGACTACAGCACTTGATTCCAAAATGCCTCTGCTTTATCTATGAGTTGTTTGCCAACTTCAGACGTTGACATTTCAGATGAGATCACAATTAAGTTTAATTTCTTTCCATGTAGATTATATTTGCACTGTTCCCATGCCAGCCAAATCTTCCTGCAGTGATGGCAGAGGTTTTGCTTTGCACACATATCCAGTCTCCTGGCAGAGTTATTTCTTGGTCTTCCAGATCTTGCGTTGACATCAGTAATTGGTCTTAATCTTCATTTTTCAGACAGTAAAAGTTTATAAGCAGAAAGTAATCAAATGTATTTTATACTTTCCTCTTGCTTTGTAAGAGTCAATTATTTTTAATGTAGGATCCTCAGTCAGCTGTTTCGATAAGCCTGTGGCTATAAAGTGTAAGCACTCTAAGAGGTTTAAAGGATCACATCATTTATTATGCTCTAAAATTGTGTATACATGACTTTGATTAAGGCCTAATGAGTCAAATAAGTTCCTTAATGAAGAACGCACACACAAAAAAAAACTTTCTGCCAGTTGATATAAGTGGAGCTGTCATGATTTGGATCAGACTACTTTTGTTGCATTGCACATTGAGTGTAGATTTTTTTTTTTTCTTTTTCCAGAAATGAATGATGTCCTGTTCCAAGTCTTTTACTGGACTTTCCTACCCAGCCTAAATGTGCAGGACGTTCATGACATTTCACCAGAGGAATGTTAAGCTGCTGAAACAGGTTAAATATAAAAATATGGCATCCAGAAAATGTGTCGGTACTCAGCAAATATCATCAGGTACCCTCTATATGAACACATCTGACAGACAATCACAGAAACACAACAAGGAAAGAACTCACTGCTGCTCAGAGTGTGGAAAGAGTTTTACTCAACAGAGTACTCTCAAAAGACACCAGCACATTCACACAGGAGAGAAGCCGTATCACTGCTTAGAGTGTGGAAAGAGTTTTACTCGACAGAGTGCTCTCAAAAGACACCAGCACATTCACACAGGAGAGAAGCTGTATCACTGCTTAGAATGTGGGAAGCGTTTTAATCGTCAGAGTAATCTCCAAGAACACTGGCGCAGTCACACAAGAGAGAAGCTGTATCACTGCTCAGAGTGTGGGAAGAGTTTCAGTCGTCAGAGTCATCTCCAGCAACATCAGCGCATTCACACTGGAGAGAAACCATATTACTGCACAGAGTGTGGGAAGAGTTTTAATCAACAGATTCATCTCCAACAACACCAGCGCATTCACACAGGAGAGAAGCCGTATCACTGCTTGGAGTGTGGAAAGAGTTTTAATCGTCAGAGTTCTCTCCAACAACACCAGCGCCTTCACACAGGAGAAAAGCCATATCACTGCTCAGAGTGTGGGAAAAGTTTTACTGTACAGAGTCATCTTCAGCAACACCAGCGCATTCACACAGGAGAGAAGCCATATTACTGTTCAGAGTGTGGGAAGAATTTTAGGCATTCAAATACTGTGACAACACACAGGTGCACTAAGAGCAGTGGTGAAATGGGCAGTAATGAGTGCAACCTTAACGCATTTCAGGAGTAAAAGTCTACAGGGAATGGTGCTGCCAGCCCAGATTTAAAAACTCTTTTTAGGGAAAAAAACAGCTATTGCTTTACGCTGTTTCTAAAACATGAGCATAAAATGAAATAATTTTCTGTGCTAAACACCAAGTCAAGCCTACTTCATATTCTCCCTAAAATGAGTTTCATTTGTAATATATGTTTAACAATCGAGAAGCTCCACAGTGAATAATAAGAGGTTCCTTATTTTCTAATTCAGTACATCTTAGCCAGTACTGTGTTTCTGATAAAATGATGGATGATTTGACAAACATTTGCCAGTGTGCTTGGCTCCTTGAATCCCTTTTTTACTCATTTGATTCCTCCACATGAACTATTTAATGCTTGTTGCAATGAAAGTGCTACTTTGTCTTCCCTTTTAACCATTAGGAGATGTTATCTGTATGCTGTATATTTGGAGTGTTCTTGTTAAGGACTGTAACGAATGTGATATGAACCTGGAGACTGCAACAGTGAAATTTTGCAGTCTGGGCAGAACTGAATTGCTTTGCAGTGGAGACACTGGAGTATGAAGGGCTGCAAGACTTTAAGCTATCTGAGATGTACTGGTGACTTCTCCTCAGTATGGCCTTCCTATGCCTGTTCTATGTGGCATAAAGTTTCCTTTAAGCAAGACTACAACTGAATTTTTCATTATTGTTTTCAGAGACATCAAGGACTGTTGATGTTCTTTGTGACACTTGGAGAGTGATTGTTCTTTAAGAAGTGTGCTGTGACATGAGATAAGGACTTTTTGTCAACAATCTATTCTCCCAGACATGGTGGCAGCTGTGCATTAAATTAAACCTAATTGCTCTGTCAAAACAAGCACGTGTCTACCTGATCCATCACTAAATTTTCACTAAACCAGATGCACTGTCAAATTACATCATGGTCAGCCCAACTAAAACAAAGCACTGCCTAGAAAAGGACATATTTCACTATTTAAAATGAATTTCTATTAAAAATGTTTTTTAACTCTTATCCAGTTTTCTTACAGCAGATAATGACTGTGTTAGGCCATGTCTTATATTTTAAATAAAAATTTAAAACGCATCCACTAAAACCATGTAGCCACTCACTCAAAGAGTTATCCATGTATTTTAAACAATTAGCTGACGCGAAACAGAAGGACACTGAGTGAATGGAATGACCCGACTCGAGGAAGTGGTTTACAGTGGAGTGCTGCTCGGTAAGTGAGGCACCCCTCGACACTGGTACCTGTTGATACCTCTTCAAAAGGACACTTCACCAGCAAAGCTACGATTCAACAGAAGCCACATTTCTTTTAATAATAGAAAGTTTTGCTATACTGAGTGGGTTTTTTGCATCTTAAAGACCCCGAAGAGGGCAAACAACCTCATTCTCAGCATTCTAAATCATTTTGAATTGTTCAGTGTGACTAGTGCACTGTTTTTCTTTCCTTCTTTCTTACTTGTGTAGGGGTGGGTAAATGAAGAATAACTGCGGAGATGAAATGCATGTCTGCTACAGTTTCCCTTTGGAGTCAATAATGGTGACAGCCTAAACACAGGTCATCTTTAGCTTCTCTGAACAATACATTCTGAAAAAGCCTAATCAACACTGAACAATTAATGTTCACTCTAGTTGAGTACAGTTCTTCAGTTGGTGTTAAAGCAAAATAGCATTTAACTAAAACATGCCACGAAAGCCACAAAACTTTGACAGAAGGCATATGGGCCTCTATATAGGACAATAACATTTTTGAGCTACCCAACATTAGACAAGCTTTACCTTGCAGTTCTCCTTGGCAAAAACTGTCTGGCAATGCAGCTGTTTAAGGTATTCCACCATGCTGTATAACCTAATAGATGCAGGCTTCTTTTTTATTCCATAATGTCGTCTACTTCAAAATCAGAATCACTTTATTTTGATATGCATGTTACACATACACAGAATTCGTCTTGGTGAATGCACACGTGTAACATACTGAACAGACCAGACAAGCACACAGACGTTAAGAAATCATTTTAAAAAAGAGAGAAAAATAAATAAAAAATACAATCAATAGCATAAATAATAAAATGTTAGATATAAAAGATCTAATGTGAAAATGGCAATACAGTAAATTACAGAAAGATATGAGTATTTGTGCAGTTGTATAAATAAGCATTGTGGTGCAGAGGAGTTATACAGTTACATAGTAAGGGAGGTTTGTTGGTTGTATATAATGAATATGTGCTTTAGCATTTCATCATGTTGTGTTATATTTTTAAATATATTTCTAAAAAATATATACACTCATCGTCAAGAAGATAGTTGCACCCAGAAGGAATCATCCGGCAGGAATGAAACTTGTTGGGTAGGTTTGATATCATGTGACATGCGAATGATTCAGGTTTCACACTCGGCCGAGCATATGACGTAAGCAAGGACGGGCCTTGTCGTTGTACGTGACTGACTATATAAGGTAGTCCTGTTGTGACGTATTGCGCGCCATACCAGTCATGCGGATATTATCATAGCACGCTGTTTGCGGCAATGGATAGAAGAAGACACGCACCAGCGACATGAAGGATCTGGGAGACTTACACGAACCACGGAGAGGGAGAGATCCGACCGATTGTCCGACATGCGCGGAGTGACCCAACAGCCACGATTGCGGGCATTCGGCGAGCAGTGACGCCTTCTACGCGTCATCCTGTTAGTGCCAGCACCATCGGCAGACGGCTGCACGACGCAGGACTACATGCACGCAGACCGCTACGACGACTGCCCTTAACACCACGTCATAGGTTTATCTAATGCCAAATCATAGGTTTATTCTATACCTTACTGTACATATTGCACTTTCTGTAACCACTACCATGCATTTTGCACATCTGGACACTCCACACCTTGACACTTTATTTCAGTACCAATACATGCACATATTCATTCAGTATTGTCATTATATGCTGTTATTGCACTGCCTTTTTCATCTCAGGTTATAGATCTTATTGCAGATTTTTGTATATTTCTATTTGTATATATGCCTGTAGATGGGTTTTTTGTATTTATTCTTCTTTTTACATTGTTTCATGCCTATTATTATTACTGTCCTGTGTTGTGTGACTGCTACTAGCTGCTAAATTTCCTTCGGGATCAATAAAGTATCTATATATCTATCTAGCTATCTATCTAGCTATCTAAAGTCACCAAAGATTGCAATGGTGTCGTGCCAGACTGTCATGGAGTGACTCAGCAGTGAGTCATCTTCAGTGACAAGTCCTGCTTTTGTCTTGGTGGAGATGACCAGTCTATTGTCACGCATCCAGAAGGCCTGGTGTCATGATGTGGGGTGCACACCAATGTACAATGCCAGATAACCTTCGGTCTACCTTCGGCCCTACCTTTTCTGAATGAACACTCCGGGGCGCTTTTCCAGCAGGACAACGCTCATCCGCGTACTGCTGCCGTCTCAAGAGTTTGCCTTGAAGGCACAGATGCTACGCCATGTCCAGCCACATCGCCAGACCTATCCCTGATTTAAAATGTGTGGGATGCTATTGGGCGCGCTATCAACACTCCATCCCTACTGCAAAATTTGCAGGAACTGCGTGAGAATATTCAGGCTGCACAATTAGGAACCTCTACAACTTCATGCCGAGACGCCTGGCATGTTGTGTTAGAAAACATGGCGGCCTGACACCATACTGACAGACACTACTTCTGTATGTGTAGCTCTATAACTATTGCACATATCAGTCTAAACTTTTAATCATTAATTGTTCTTGGTAACCTTTATCTTCCTTACGTATAGCATTGTATATATAGCAATCCGACACTTCCTTCTGGGTGCAACTATTTTTTTAACGATGACTGAATGTTTGCATTTTCTTTTGCATTTCTTTTGTATGAAGGTAAGAAGTGCTATTTCGTATTTAAAGGACAAAGGTGTAGTTGATGTATTTGTCACTATTCTGTGTCACTATTACGTCCCTTCCATTTAAATAGGTTTGACGATTAAGTCATCAAACTGAGCAGCTTAACTAGTAGCCTATCAAATAAATAACACATGAAGCAAATGTAGATTAATACTGCAGTACCATACCCAGCCATTACCATGTCTTGGGATGTCTTGAGACATGTCTAAAGACACATTATGAAGATGTCTTAAGACGTCTTGAGGCATGTCTTAAAAAATTAAGACGTCTTTAAGATGTCTATAGACACGAATGTCTTGACTATAATAACATCCCAAGAAGTCTCAAGATGTAGGATGCATAATATTTATGTTTTAAATTTTCCCTAAAAAATATTTTAAAATAAATCATCTACTTTAAAATGTTTTTTAAGGGAATATTAAAACGTAAACATTATGCATTATTTGTAGCAAGAACTCTAGTACAGAATATTTTTTTTATTATTTTATTTTTTATTTATATTTTATGTAGGATGCATAATATTATTTTCATACATATTATTTTATAAACTCAATAAATGTGCTGTGTATGCATACAAACATTATATATACTAGTACATACTACAGTGATAAATTTCAGAACAAATTTAACATATAAAAGTAATAATAATAATAATAATTGTATTTATAAGGACCAAGGTAGCTAGTAGGACTGTACAATAGATATAAAACAGTGTAAGTCAACTTCATACAATATATCAGTAAGGTATCTAATAAAATAAAATTAGATGACAAAAAAATTATTTTAAGATGATTTTTAAATATGCAACAGTACCATAAAATTGAATTGAAAAAGAAAACAAATCACTGTATAGTAACAATTAACAGAGAGGAAAAGGAGAGAAGGAGGCAAGGACAGAGATGGACAAAATAGAGTTGGACAAAAAAGATTTTAAAGAATAAAGTTACTCTAAGTGGGCATGAAGATATCTGTTTTTTATGTAGCACCTGTTGTTGACATTGTGGCGAATCTGGGTCCCTGTTTTTCACAGTAGTTACCACTGCTGTTTGATTTTGTCCCTATCCCAAGATGATGTTGAGGCTGCCAAAAGCACTTGTGGTGGAGAGGTTTCTGTAATGGCTAAAGGTGTAAGGAGAACCTTAACAGCCTCTTTGAATTCTTTAAAGCCTGTTAGAGGATTTTCCTGTATAGTTGTTGAAATGTTATGCCCTCAAACAGAAGCTGAGGATTTTCTGTAACAGAGTTTGATTGGTTTCTGGCCCACATAGAGCATATTTCTCCAATCAGTTTAAACATGAAGGGCCAGTCTGTCATTCAGTAAGATGATATACCTGATGCCGAAGCCCATATGCCTGTAATTTTAACTGGTTGAGACCGATGTCTTGCACTTTCCATGTCTGCCTCTGTACTTTCAAATTATGTCAAAAACTGAAAAAGGTATGAGGTTTTGTTTCGACAGTAGCGATATGCAGTTGTGGACTAACTGACACAGAGAAATAATTTCACACATATTTGTAATGTCTGAGGGACAATGTTGCACTTTAGTATTGGATGTAAAGCTGTCCATGGCCAGTAAGACGATCATTAATGTTCTTCATAACCATCTTTCCTCTAATCCAGACCTAAATAATAAAATAAAATAATTACTAAACTATTAGTTGTTTACATATAACATTTAAAGGTTCAGGCTTCATACCAACCAGCCATACCAACCTTTGCTCCCAGGAAAATGTGCTCTTGGGTCAGGATTCTGCTACCTATATGCTCAACAAGGTCAGGCTGCCTTAACGTCTTACAGATTTGTAGGTTTAACACTTCCTGCCAGGTCCTCTGCTCATGGAGTCTTAGATCTGTATTGAAACATCAGATTAATTATTATTATACAAACATAGGCAAACATAGTGTGAATATTAGCTTCCTTAAACTCTGCATCACTCACATCATTGATAATTGTAAATAATAATAATACAATTACTATTTTTATTTTTCAGCTTCCCTGTGCCGTACACATTATTGTATCAACTTGGAACTTATGCTCTCAAATAAGGACAAATTGAGTTTATGTTTAGTGGTATCAGTAGTACACTGTGTTACAGTGTTTAAAAAAGACGGCATCTATTTTGGTAAACTTGCAGGAATGCATATAAAAATAGACATTGTGATGCTCAAGTTATTTATGAACCAATGTGGAATTAAATATGTATTACTTGTATAAGGGCGGTGGGGCAATGTAGCCTGATATATCACATATTTTTAATTGCATCACACTCACTACTCACCATTGTGTATTCTAGTGAATTGTCTGCATTAAACTATTTGTATGTTGTGCATATGCTGTCTGAAATGAAATGACATGGCATTCTTGTGCTTGCAAAGAGGATGCAACTGCTTTCAGCATTACAGAAAAGCGAACACTTTGATACAAACTACAGAACTGCGAAATGGTTATAAATGAACATCATTCAGAACAAACATGCATTCTGAACAGATATGAATACAATACAATTTGTTTTAACTGAATATATCCTGAAAGTTTTATATTTGCAAGAAACAACTTGCAACTTTTTTTTTTACATTCCAGTAACAGCTGCTGTTCAGGTGGATGCTGCACATTGGTGGTGGTTATCTGTCTCAAATTTCAAAGCGAAATGTAACTGTAATTGCTCATTATTATTAAACACAAATGAGTAAATGAAGCATTTTTCAGAGCACTTTTATTTGCGTATTATCTAGGTAGTGTTGTAGTATTCGTGACTGGGCTCAAGCTCTCAGCATATCTCACCCTGTTATTTATTTTTATTTTAATTCTGTTTTTTTCCCAAGAGTTCCCAGCTGTGAAAGTGTCAAAGTGAAGCACATTTTAAAAAATAGTTATTAAGAATTAAGAATATTTTAAAATAAATGTTTTATATTCATGTAGATGGAAGAACAGAACAAATATTTAAACTAGTCTTGAGAAAAAGTCACAAGTCCTCTTTATCTTGAGATTGTACACTCTATGTAGGCTGTCACACAAGTCTGTGGTTTTAGGTACCGCACCACCATATAAAAAATAAATAAAAAGACTCTGGAAAATGCTTAATTAATTAGATTAACCCTTGCTACTTCTTAACAATGTAGTCATAAGTTGCCAATCAATTACCAACTACTGGCTTGTTCAAATATTAATAAGAAACTAAAAATGCAACACTACTTGGTTCTGATATAGATGATGACTTTGAGGTAACTCTCTACCTACCAAGACCTTGTCTCTGTCGAAGTTCACTGGTTGACATCAGTGTAACAGATCCAGATTCTCCATATATGGGGGCATAGCCTGGCAAGCCATGGATTGATGTGGCATCTGCAACATGTCCGGTCATCAGCAACATGGTCCTTTTGACCATGTTCCTCTCCATACTCACACCATTCTTGTGGGCAACGACTTGAGTACAGAATATTTAAATTTTATTTAAAGTTTTAAGTAATTCCATGGCATGTCACTTAATTTCAGTTCTAAAGTTCAAGAAAACCTTCAAGCCTCTAACTAATTTTACAGTAACTTAACAAACTTTCATAATGATCTAAATGAAAGTTTGCCCCATTAGGGTCTAAAACATATCTTAAATATTGTGCATACAGAATGACTGAACTGTTGTGAAATACTAACTTGGTATAAAAACACTAACACTTAATATTTAAATAAGCTAGTTTCATGTTCATTTCCCACAATATCTTCTTTCAAATCTGCTTTCAAATCTGCATGTTGTTCGAAGCTATACCTTGAGTTCAAAATGGTTTCACAAAACTAAAAATCAATTTTACATATTTTTTATGTACAATAGTATAGAAAAAGTAACAGTAGCAAAGCATCTCAATACATTTAGTAGATGATCAACATATTTCAAAATAAAGTTTGTTGATAATCTGCTGAATTCAGTTTTTCACTTTAGGGTGAGGGGTAGGACAGGAAGTAATATACCAACATTACAACTATATGATATTTCCTGAATGTTTTCAAATGCTTTACTAATGCTACTTCACTGATATGTTACTGATAGTCTGTTGAGTGTTTATTAATCATTTACAAAGGACCACACAAAATAAAGTGTTAGCCATGAATAGTTGATTTAAAGTGAAATATTATTTTTAGTGTTGTGTTTGCATCCAGTTAATGTTTCTCCTCAGATAAGTCATTCTGCAATTCTACAAGATACAATCTAGATTCTAATAGAGCAGGTTTTAAAAAATCATTACTAAAAAGTACTTTGTGTACAGCTTTGAACATTTGCATGGATGCATGAGTTACATTAAAATTTTCATGAAAATCTATGGCATGACCTGACCGATCATGGTCTTTTGGATAGGAGCAGCAATTACCTATGTCCTTCACTCTGTGGTGGTACTGCTCAAATCTGTTACAGTCACCTCTCATGGGATGGCCCAAGACATTTATCTGCTCCCCAGTATGGAAACCACAATGAATGTTTGCATAGTTTGCAACCTCAGCTTTTCAGATCTGGACAGCAATAACACAGAAATAAACTTTGTTTTACATAACATACATACAATGCACAGTACATGGCAAAGGTATTAAGGGGTTTTAAAATCAAGCATAGAGCAATAGCCATAGATAAACACACTGCCGGACTCAGGCTGTCTGAAGGGCGGGGGCGAAAAAGTAAACAGGGCACCTACTGCACGACAAAGGGAAGTCAATAGGCCACTTTTTGCCACTCTAGTGGGCCCTTAAGCGATGCTTTTTCAACATTGGGGACACGAGGGGGGAGATTGTCCCCCCTGCTCCCCCTCTGAGTCTACAGTGGATGAACACTGCAGTAGAAAGGGTCAATCTGAAAAGTTCAGTGATTTTCATTGTGGTACAAACAAGCTCTCAGATTACCAAGTGCTGAAGCACAGAGCATGGATAATTCTTCTGGCCTCAGTTGCAACCAGGGGGATTCAAGGGGATGCTCATAAAAAGTGAATACTGACTAAGAATAACTAAGAAAAAGAATACTGTGATATTTTAATATCATTGCAAGTTTGACATGTACACACCAAGCTTCAACATACATAGATGAAAACAAAACAGCAAAATGTCATCTTAAGTTAGTCAGAAGTTTGCTGTTTATAGTACTGCTATCTAAGCAATCTAAGTACAATATAAGTTTTATTTTTACTTTTATATTTAGTCATTTTTTTCCTGTGCTAACAAGGTAAAAAAAACTGCTACTTACTCCCCCCAGCCCTTTGAACCCACCATCCCTCTTCAAAAGATAACTACTGGTTGTAGTGCTCACTGCTGAGTTCCAGACTATTTCTGGAAGCAATGTCAGCACAAGAACTGCTTGTTGGTTTGAGGCCTGACCTGAACCCCATTCAACACTTTAAGAATGATCTAGCAATGAGACAGACCTTATTACTCAACATCAGCACTTCATCTCACTAATGCTGAGGAATGGAAGCAAACCCCGCACTGATGTTTATAAATCTAGTCAAAAGCCTTCTATGGACATATTAATGATGGTTTTGGAATGACATTACAATTAGCAAGCAGATATGGGTGTGATGTTAAGGTGTGCATATACTTTTGGCCATGTACATAATCTAAACAGATGCCAAGCATTCAAACAATGAGGTTTGAGGTTTTTTAATTCTATAGTGGAAAAATAACTCACCTTCACAAACAGTTTGTGGTGTTCACATATTGTTTCCTGCAGCTGCTTTCCCTGAACTTCAGTAAGACTAGCAGAGTTGATCAAAAATACATAGTTGCTCAACAAAATATTGGCTTTTGTTACTAGCGAGCAAATTATTGCAGCCAATGTACTCAGCTGAAGCAGATGTAAATGCTTCAGGGTAATATATAACATTCCGTGTGATAATTGGTAAGAGCTGAAGAAGATGGAGTATTTCACAGCCTGTGGCACATGCTAAGTGGTTAAGGTCTGGCGGCTGAAATTAAATGTAACACAATATTAGCATAAGAGGCAAAAAAGCAAAGAGACTGAATGCAGTGTGCAAATACAAACTGTGTTTTACCTGCTTGATCCAGTGAGGCCTCTCAATAGCCGCAATGAGGCTGGACAAGAACTGCATAACTTCAGTCCTAATGTTGCCCTAAATAAGACTAATTTGAAGTCTCCCAACACCAAGTGCATCTAAATGGAAATGGTCAAGTTTCATCTGTAGACAAAGAGAAATAACAGTGTTACTCTAGAGCTATTAACTCTTTACTGCATGTTGATAGCAACTAGCAACACTTACATTTTGGTTCAGATTTAAATAATGCTCCCTGACTAGAAATTAATTGTCATTTTTTTTCTTTTATGAATGAGTTTTACATCAACATACATAGATGAAAATGGCATTTTGAGAACACTTAATTAGACTACTGGCACTGTACACTGTATGTAAAAAGTGTGTATAATTCAATATTTATATGCAATGAAAATAACAAAGTAACAGTACTTTTCTTCAGCTTAGATGATATGGGTTTTATATAAAAGGATAAAACAGAATCATTGCCACATGGTAAAAGATGTGACAATGGAACTAAAATCCACAGCGCACTCTTTTTATTATTTTGATATGGAGAAAACAATTTCAATTATGTTAGAGAGCAGCAAGCAAAATGTTACAATGACTTTTTTTCCTATAAATCACTGACACAGAGAAAATGTTTGTATTTTTATGTGAATTCATGAAAACCTAATATCACCCAATATACATTACCTGAATGTGGGGTTCGATAATAAAATCGCTGGAAAATAGCTGGTTTTGTGGGCTGAACAAAGTGTTGCTCTCAACTCACTGGAGTAACTGTTTATTTTAGTTCAGACTCTCCTACCTTTTTCTCAAGAAGGTGAACTGTAGAAGAAGCAGTTGAAATCCAAAACCCTGAATCAGAGCAAATGTCCTTAAATACATTACTGTTTAAAAGTTTACAATTAATGTTTTAAATTCTACTAAAGCAATTTAGCCACAGAGAAGCCACAGCTTCTCAAATCCAGAAACTCTACAAGAAATTACTATAAACAGATCATTATGTAATTAATAATTTAACAACTTCTGGTTTATGATTCAGATTATTTAAATCAACATTGCGTAAGAAATAAAATCAAAGCTCTTATTATAGTGAGTGAGGTATGTAAGGAACATTTCCTGGAATACAGTACTTATTTTTGGTTGTTTACAAAAGAAAAACAAGAAAACATCCATTAGTTTAAAAACGGAATGTGTTTATTGTTTACTTAATAAAAAAAAACACTACAATCAACTATAGGCTTTGGTTTAAGCTTTTTAGTCTTAATTAAATTTTTCACTAATTGTTTCCCAGTTATGATCACTAACGCCTCCTTTTAGTAAATGATAAATATTTATATCTTTTAGTATATTTAACAACTGTTTATATCTGTTAGATACAATATATATAGATATTAGATATGTTATATATATATATATATATATATATATACATATATATATATATATATATATAAGAAGATAGGGTGAATATTTCAGGTGATTTTCACGTAATTAAGCTGGGTAGCAAGCTAACTAGCGTTAGCCGCCTAGCTTCAGGCAAGCACGTTCATTTAATGTAATACATTGTGTTGACAGTGTATTATTTAGGCACTAGGCAGTTAAAACTGTCCATCCTTCATTAATATGAGTGCTACAAGCTATAAGGCGTCACGCCCATAGTATGAGAGACTCCTACATGTGCAGTGACGCTTGTCTGATGTAAAGTGTTTTATAACATTTCTAGAAAGTAAATTATTTATATGCATATTTATTAATATTAACTAAGAGGTATTGAGTGATTAATAACTTTTATTTTGAAAATTACATTTCCGGTTGTCGTAGGTCTACGCTCGCTCTTGTTGTTGTCTTCACACAGCTATCCAACCCCATTGTTGTTTGTTTTTTCGTTAACCTCTTAAATCTGCCACAAAACAAATGAAAGAAACTGAACCGTGTGAAGAAAGCGCTTGTGCTGACCGAGTGAAGTCGCGGAAACGTACTGGAGCTGGAGCTGGAGACCCCACTGCTGCTGCTGCTGCTCAGGTGGGCTACAGCTTTTCTCTCACAGCGTCTCAGCAGAGTCATACTTATCCACATGCAACGTACATGCACCTAGATACACTTTCACTTTCTCTGCAGTAAGTAGGACTGTTGCAGGTTGAGGACCCGTCCTAGCTGTTTAACTGTTTAGTGTGTTAGTAGTTTAGACTCTGAGGTGAGTCTTTAGTGAGGAGGCTCAAACTGTAGAAATATAATGTGCAGAGAAATAATGTGCAGACAAGCTGCCAAAAGATCCCCTTCCATCCCATTTCTCAGGTCAGTTTTACCCTTAAAACAAACACCTGGCTTTAGTGGTACTAAAATATGATTAATATGATGTTGGTCATTTTTGCTCCTGCGTGCAAACCAAGTTAAGAGCCAAATCGCTGATACAACCGTTTTCTCTTGTGATGCTCTACCTTGACCATCTGGGATTGACAGCTTAATAATCCATCAAATACCAGCTTTAGTGATTGTGGTGCAGTTCATTGCTTGTCCTCTGAGTAACATGTTCCTTCTGCTTTCAGGTCATCCTGCAACTCTTGCTGGCTTTTCTGTTACCTTTCTTATCATCAGTCTGAGGAAAATCTTGCCAGCACTCTTAGAAAAAAAGGTATGAAACTGTCACTGGGGCGTTGCCCCTTTTGTCACTGGAGTGTTACCATAAAGGGTACATCTCAGTACCATTAGTCAGGGAACATAATTGTACCATAATCCATTGAAATTATACTTTGTAAATTGTATTTACTCCACACACCCCGTCTCGTCTCCAGGCTTTTTATTTTATTATTCTGTTTTAAAACATTAGTTTATGAAAAGGTATGAATATCATTTTCCATTAGCAAAACTTATTAAAGGTACACAATTGGACCTTAAAACCACTGCTGTACCTTTGAGGGTACACTTGAATTGTTTGTATCTTGATGGACGAAAAATTTGCCTGCACAATACCTTTATTTTTAACAGTGTGGAGCACCACTTGTTGTGGTTCCATGAATATTCCAATTGCTTATTATCAAACCAGCTTTTCAGTTGCATATTATCAAACCAGTTGTACTGAAGGGGATGTTTAAGGTCTTTGCTAGGGCTCTGTAGTTTTCCATACAAGGGTAACCAGTGGCAGCGTCTATTGTAGTGACACTAGGTGCAATTTGCCTAAGAACATTTTTATTTTCCTGCATTAATATGTAGAACTTAATTTATTTTAATTTTTAATCTCTAGCTGGTTCTTCTCTCCACAGTGCAATTATAAAGTTCTGCTGGAATAATTCAATCAAAATTATCTGCCCTCCAAAAGCCTGAACATCTTGGAGGACTTGGAGCTTTAGAATTTTACTACTGTTTATCATACTAGCTACTTTACATTCAGCATTGGACAAGTAAAGCAAACCAACCATGTTTGAACACTGAATTCAAGAATTAGACATCAACAGCTATTAATAAACAACAATAAACACTTCATATTTTCAGCTTGGAGTCAGAGAGGAGTAACCAGCCTGGGACATTTATTCACTAATAGCATGACGGCTTGTTCATGACCTTCAACATAATCTAGGAAAAGAACAACGTACCAGATCAGTGTTACTTTTAGTATATACAACTTAAAGAGGTTATAAAGAAAACGAGCAATTTTCACAGTCCCACTCCTTTTCTCTACTTAAAACTACACAGCCTTAAGCCTCAGAACTGCACAAGATCATTTCCTGTTGAAAAATGGACTGCAGATATAGAACAGTCATGTGATCCCAACTGGCAAAACATAATGGCACATTCTCTATGACAATGAATTCAAAACTTCAGTTAATACAATATAAAACCTTTCACATTACAACCCATAAACTGCACCATATGGGATTTAGCCACAGTACTACATCCACACTGCCCAGTCTCAACAGACAATTACTGTCATACTTTCTGGCTTTGTCCTCATATCCATTATTTCTGGCCAGAGGTCATTGGCAAGTTGTCTGAGATCCTAGGCTTTGGCATCCCCATCTGCCTCACTGTAGAACTACTTAAAGGGGAATACCCCAGCTTTTTCAAGATTTCTGCATAATTAAACGGTTAGGATGTAAACAAAGTCATTCAGAGTGGTTTAGTGTGAAATGCTCCGTTCTAGAGAAACATCAGAATTGTTCACAGTGGTGTTGATGAGAACCAGACATCTGAAGATTTTAATGCCACTGAAACAGGGATGCATGATCTTATCCACAGAGGGCCGGTGAGGCTGCTGGTATTCATTCCAAACTTGTTTAATCAGTCTCAGTCTTCAAATAAGTGATCATGTGAGCTCCTGCTTTATTGGAATGAAAATCTGCAGCCAAACTGGCCTTTCACAAATAAGATTAGATAAGAACACTCCAGCTCTAAAAGCTCCGTCGTAGAAAGTTATGACATGAAATGGTTATGTATACACTGCCTGATGTCTGAGACATTGTTTTGCGATAGGTTTGCAATTAGATTTTTGCAATTAGCTTTTAGTGTAGGTTCACTGGTGGTTTTGGTTTTGATTTCAAATAAAGTGGCTATATTTGTGTTGTGGACATTGTGACCTTTGGTTCCTGTTTGCATCACTGAATGAGTTTGTTTACATCTTCAATGATTGAATTATGCAGACAAAATGAAAAATCAGTGGAATTCCCCTTTAAAGTTATAAGTGCACAGACTTCTTTATCTAACATTAGCAATCACTGTTAAAAAATGCTTCTTGGGTGGGAAAAAAGTCTATAATTTAAGTTAGTTGGTCAGTCCGTAGTATTACTAAATTGTTCAAGAGCTCTGAATGCTCATTTTACCTATTTTCATAGCCAAGCTACTAAGACCTTTAAACAGCTGACTGCTCAGCTTGTGCACTTGGGTAAAAGGTATCCAACTCCAACTTAGGACTATCATAAAGGAACTTTTCACTTTTTTATAATACAGACACTACAGTGCTTGTTTAAAAAAAATACCAGATCAGCACTTAGCACTAAATTATTAACTGCACGTAAGTCAGTTTTGATTAAAAAAATATCAGATAGGACCTTGTAAGTCCAAGACCAAGGCCTAATCCCATTTCTTCTTTTTACCCCTACCCCTTGTTTTCGAGTATCACCCTAACCTTTTGGAACCGAGTTACAAGGGGTAGTGGTTGAAATCTTGCCCTACGAAATGGGACAACCCTCAAATTGACCTTACTTCATTAATAGGCTACTAGCACTGCTAGGCGACCCAGCCAGTTTTCAGTGATAGCAGAGAAGGGAAGAGCTCAGCAACCTCATCGCTGGGTTTTAGTTACATTTAGGGTATCAAATGCTTTCAAAGAGGGGGAATAAGACAATCATTTATTATCGCCCACTGCTAATTCTTTGGTGATACGAAGCTTCACCAGCTTCTTGCTCCAATTTTCCCGTTCCTCCTTAAATGGTGCAGCAGTTACAGTTTGGCGCTTCAGGCGTCAATACTGCTGAACTATTTAAGGTGGAACGGGAAAGTTAGCTAGCTAGCTACCGATACATTAGCATGCTATTAGCGGTTTTTTATGCTTGTTATAAAGAAAACGACAATAAAACATTGAAACGACACTAAACTAAGAATACAGTGGTTATTGTAATTTTTAACGGAGAAAATACTTACATTTGTGGGTTTCTCTGGTCGCTCGCGCAGCCATCTTGCCGATTTTTCTTTTTTTTTTCATAACACTGTTTGGAGTGTGCCTCTGAAAAAGCTGCGTTCGGAGGGCCATGTAGCCCTAACACTCTATCTCAACAAAAACTGGGACACCCTAACCCTAGAGGTGAACGCGCGAAACAGACGGCTAAGGGCCAAGTGGTATGGGCAAGGGGTTTATTTTGGAAGCCCACCCCTGCAGCCAATTAAAGACCTTTGTGTACTGCAACCTAAAAAAAAACATGCAAAGCAGCAACACTACACAGAAGGGATAGTAGGCCATTTCGGTCGCAACACTCCCACCCTTAAGAATAAACATTTCACGTTTGATGCAGAAAACAAAGAGAAATACAAAACAATGTGAATCTTTCATAACCTTCTCAGAATGTTAAATGCAATGTTTCAATTTATTTGCTAAATTTAATATATTAGAGGGGAAAAAAACTTTAATAAAATGTGCTGTGGATGCAAAGCTTTGGGTACCCTCAATGGTGATTGTAGCCAAAGAGTTCAGTTTTTGTTTCATTAGACCACAGCACTTGATTCCAAATAGATTGAAACAAGAGTTGTTTGCAAACTTCAGATGTTGACATTTGAGATGAGATCACAGTTAAGGTTAATTTCTTTCCATGTTAGATGATGTTTGCACTACAACACTGCACAGTAGGCCAGTGTATCACTGTTCCCATGACATCCAAATCTTCAGTCTTCCAGATTTTGCTTTGACTTCAGTAGTTGGTCTTAACTATCATTTCTTAATGCCATTTCAGACAGTGAAATATTATAGGCAGAAAGTATAGTTAAATGTATTTTATACTTTCGTCTTGCTTTGTAAGAGTCAATTATCTTTAATTTCAGGTCCTCAGTCAGCTGTTTCTGTAAGCCTATGCCTGTGAAGTGTAAGCACCCTAAAGGGGTTTGAAGGATCACATAATTTATAATGCTCTGAAATTGTCTAAACGTGACTTTGATTAAGGCCTAATGAGTCAAATAAGCTCCAAGGCCTTACCTGAAAAACGCTCAGAAAAAAAATGCATATAATGACATTCATATTTCGGCCCCTTAATGACCTTGTAAAGCAGTGGATCCAGTGACATTTAGGGAGAATATGCACATGGGACAAAACTTGAGTTTGGAATCATTTTGTAAACCACAAGGTGTGATGGTGATGGTTTTCTAATAATCCTAGTCATTTGTGCCATGGAGAAATCCAGCTTAGCCCCAGAGTTTCCAATATCAGCATGACTCTGACTAAAGAATAACAACACGACTTCAGTGGTATTTGTCTGTTTGAAGAGTTTAAATAATTAGGTGATAAGCTTCTCCACATCATATGGAAGTTTATTCTTTATTTACACTTTGTGCCAGTTGCTGGAAAGTGGAGCTTTCATGATTAATTTGGATCAATCTACTTTGGTGGCATTGCACATTGAGTGTAGATTTTATTTTTTTCTTTTTCCAGAAGTGAATGATGTCCTGTTTCAAGTCTTTACCTGCACTTTCCTACCTAGCCTGAATGTTCAGGACGTTCAGAACATTTCACCAGGAGGAATGTCAAGCTACTGAAAATAGGTTAAATATAAAAATATGGCATCCAGAAGATGTGCCGGTACTCAGCAAATATCATCAGGTACCCTCCATATGAACACATCTGACAGACAAACAAAGAAACACAGCAAGGAGAGAACTCATTACTGCTTAGAGTGTGGAACAGGTTTTACCCAACAGAGTACTCTCAAAAGACACCAGCGCATTCACACAGGAGAGAAGCCGTATTACTGCTCAGAGTGTGGGAAGAGTTTTACTAGACGGAGTGCTCTCAAAAGACACCAGCACATTCACACAGGAGAGCTGTATCACTGCTCAGAGTGTGGGAAGACTTTTAATCATCAGAGTCATTTCCAAGAACACCAGCGCATCCACACAGGAGAGAAACCGTATCACTGCTCACAGTGTGGGAAGAGTTTTAATTGTCAGAGTCATCTCCAACAACACCAGCGCATCCACACAGGAGAGAAACCGTATCACTGCTTCGAGTGTGGGAAGAGTTTTAATCAACAGATTCATCTCCAACAACACCAGCGCATCCACACAGGAGAGAAGCCGTATCACTGCTCAGAGTGTGGGAAGAGTTTTAATCGTCACAGTTCTCTCCAACAACACCAGCGCATCCACACAGGAGAGAAACCGTATCACTGCTCAGAGTGTGGGAAGAGTTTTAGTCAACAGATTCATCTCAGACAACACTTGCGCATTCACAAAGGAGAGAAGCCGTATCACTGCTCAGAGTGCGGGAAGAGTTTCACTGTACAGAGTAATCTCCAACAACACCAGCGCATTCACACAGGAGAGAAGCCGTATTACTGTTCAGAGTGCGGGAAGAATTTTAGGCATTCAAATACTGTGACGACACATAAGTGCACTAAGAGCAGTGGTGAAATGGGCAGTAATGAATGTAACTTTAACGCATTTCAGGAGTAAATGTCTCCAGGTAATGGTGCTGTCAGTCCAGATTTAATAACTGTTAATAGGGGAAAACCACCTAGTGTTTTATGCTGTTCCTAAAACATGAGCATGAAATGAAATATAATTTTCTGTGCTGAAGTCAAGTCTGGGCAGAACTGCTTAACAGTGGCGACACTGGAGTATGAAGGACTGCAACACTTCAAGATATCTGAGAGATGTACTGGTGACCTCTCCTCAGTATGGCCTTCCTATGCCTGTTCTATACGGCATTAAGTTGCCTTCAGGCAAGACTACATCTCAATTTTTCATTACTGTTCTCAGAGACTTTAAGGATTATTGATGTTCTTTGTGTTGCTTGAAGAGTGATTGTTCATGAAGAAGTGTGATGTGACATGAGATAAGGACTTTTTTGCCAATTTCTAATCTGTACTACCAGACATGGTGGCAGCTGTGCATTAAATTAAACCTGATTGCTCTGTTAAAACAAGCACGTGTCTACCTGATCCACCACTAAACTTGCGCTAAACTGGATGTACTGTCAAATTGCACGTTTTAATGTTGTTTAAATTCTTTTCGCTAATATTGCCTATACTAGTGCTGGCCAGTTAAGTTGGGACATCCCCTTCCCCTTTTTCCTCTTAAGTCTCCTCCCCTTCCCTGCCTCCTCCCTTTTGACTTCTGTTTCATATAAGGAGGTAGATATCAGATGTGCCTTTATCAATGTGTCAGATGTGATCTTTATTAATCCTACATTTTCAGTACATGAAAAATCACCAGGTTTATACATATATGTATGTTCCTGGGTTCATTACCAGCAATTGTGCTGTATCATTTGTTGCTAATGGTCCATTTTAGAGCGAATTACTTATGCACATATTGCTAACATCACACAGCATGATCCACGCACTATAATAGTCAGCTAAGCTTATTCTTTTATGTTTTTTTCATATGAGGTGAGGAAGGGAGAAAAGAAGCAGGGGTTTGCTAACCTATAGTAAAGTCTGTATGTAACATAACGTAATATATTGTCTTCTTTGCATGTCTCAACACAGTCATTGTATTAAACCAACGACAACAATGTGGCAATAATTCCTGGATCCTCAGGCTTTTCTAGCTCTTTGGATCTCAGTGCAAGGTTTCACTATGAAGTACACAAGGACGGTCTTCTGCTGCTCCATCGTTTCAAAGGTAAATTTTGTTTAGCTTTTTACTTTTATAATGGTATTTGTTTCCAAGTGTAACTACAGTCTGAGAAAAATCAGCAGTAATATGAATCATTACACCACAAGTCACCTAGGGCCTGCCCAGTCATTTAATTGATTTCCATGAAAAAAATTCAAATAAAAACCTTAAATTTAATGATGAAATTTCAATAGTGTACTCAGTTTACACTCTGGATCACATGTTAAATATGGAGTGTAACTGCTTGTAGAACAAGTCAACTCAGCTGAAATATCAACTAGGTATAAATACAACACTAAGAATAATATTTCACTTTAAATCAACTGGTTTTATTTTAATAAATGTCTAAGGTTAATTTATTGGAGGATATACTTTAGTCAATGTGTGACCTTTTTCTTTGAAATTTAATCTTTCAGACAGTTAAAAAATATATGGTTTATGTTTATCATTTCTGTCAAATTTATGAATTGGTAATCTGTGTGCAATGACAGAAGGCCAAAATGGCTTCATAACTAAAAATTTTATAGGCCATTTTAACACCATATTTTCTCAAAACGACTAATTCTGTTTTCTTCAAATCTTTTCCTGAATAAGGAATATGTCCCATTAACATATAAGATACAGATATACCATGAGTCTTTCATGATTTAGTCTTTTTTAAACATGATAGTTTTCTAAGAAGCATGGTAAAAATTAATAGTACAAATGAAAATAGAAAAACAATGAACTTTCCTAATAACCTTTATAATGCTGCAGAGTATATAAAGTCTGTATCCTTTTTGAAATGTGATTTGTTGTTCTGTTTCTTGCTTTTTGGACAGCAAGACATGCATCTTGACATGAATCTCCAAGTGGCTGCATTCTCAGTATAGGCATACCTGAACAGCTTACACCTTAACCATTACTATACTTAATCAATAAATCAGTCCTAATTATATGCATTAATGTAAGGGTGACTGAAAGAGTTAAAGTGTTGACACTTTTTTTAACAAGCCAGTATACATTGCTGATGTGGTTGGAGGCAAATTTACTTCTAGCAGAATGGTGGTAGTAAGATTCAGGGAGTGTGAAGCAACAGTTCCAGAGATAATTGGCTGCAAAATGTGCCATGTGAAATTTGGTCACAGACGTTCCCCTGTTTAAAACACTTTCAGAAAGTATGATAAAATAGTGTGAGGTTGTCTTTGAGACAAGAGGAGCTATAGCATGTTGATTGTCAAATTAACTGCTCAAAGGTTGTTTTTGTAAAGATCACTGACACCAAAAATTTAGCGAAAATAGGAAACTTCTAACATTCTGTAGCTCCTTTATTCTTGCAAGCAACCTGACACTGCTTTTTCACACTTTCCTAAGGTTTTTAAAAATGGAATTGCTTCCCTTGCATTCTTTACTGCTGTCCACAGACTATTCATAGTGATTTAATTTTTCTTCTTCACACATTTCCCAACTTAGCCCCAGACAATCTTAATAGTACATCATGTCTGAATTTCACATGATGACCTGTGTGGTGTCTTGCATTGTCTTGGTAGAATGTCATTTGTTGTGGAGTACCTTTAAGTAAACCAAAACCGTTGCTAAACTTCAATGTATAATACATGTGCATGTGAGCAATTTTTTAAATGCCAGTGTAGCCAAAATTGAGTATTTAACTAATGTTTAATGTTTGAATTAATGTTTAATTTCATACAAATCTTTTAAATTGATCAAATGTAGTAATGCATCTTTGAACAGGGTGAAGTCATTGTTAACAGCACTTTCTAATACATCAGAAATGTTTGGATAGGTCTCTGCAAATTCTCTGCTCTGGTCTTGTCATCTGTTGTTGAGAAGGGGTCCATCCCAAATACAGTATCTCTTGTAAGAGAGAATCCCAGTTGCTCTCTGTACAGGTCAGCTGCTTGTGATGCATGTGGCGATGTTTTGTCTTTTATTTTTTTGCACTCCCACTTGCAGCAAAGTGGTTTGGTACACCCTTTCCTGTTACATGGAGAATGTGTTGATCAGTAGACAAATACCTTATATCACCAAAATTGTACCTTTTCAGGAGAAAGAAAGGCCTTTATTTTAAGGTAAGGTTTTTAATGTAGATAAATTTTACACCCTTTATTCCTATGGGTAATTCATCATAAAATTTTAACACAATATTGAGGGCAGCTAATATTTTCAAAAAGAAAAGAATGAGTGTATTGTATTATCTTACATATTATCAGTGTCTATTAATAACTGACTGAAAAGAGTTACATCACTTTTACTGTTTGACCTAGTGATGTGGGCTGTTTTTATACCTGGAATGCACGCAGGCACATCTAGGGAAACCTTTAAGGTGAGGATGGATACACAATATGGCTCTTGGATCCTCCAAGTCTATTGCTTTCTGATGCACTAACTGGACAAGTAGGGAGTTGACATGTCTGTTAATTTCCAGCCAATTGCATTTTACAATGTGTTTCTGATTTAGGAACAAAAAATATTATTAAGGTTAACAATCTACCGGGGCCTGAAATAAATTGATACAGACATTAACATTTAGGTAATTTTCATACCCTAGTTGATGTGGTTTGAGGGTAGAGCATCCTTGTGATGTCATGCTGACAGCATCTCCTGGATGAATAATGACAAGTAAAACTCCTTGCTATGGTCGACTCTGATCTGATCCCACATGCGATAAGTAAGGACTGCAAGTCTGGTAAGCATATGCTGTCACCATGAATGGGAATGATCAATATACAGCATGTTTTATCATGAATGAATATATATTTTTAATAAAAGAAGTTTTTAACTGATACTTTACCTGTACACCTCCTCATAAATGATGAGGCTGTCTTTTTTTGCTCTACCTTTTGCCTGGCTTCATGATAAGGTGAGTAAGCCCTCAGCAATCCCCCAACACTTTGTTCTGCAACGTGGATTCCCTTTGTAAAGACACAGCCTGTCATCATCTTATGTCCAAATGTTGGTCCTGTCTTGAAAACATAAACTGTATAAGCAGTCCGTTCAGTTATCCAATAGTTAACAATTTATAAAATTAGTTTTTGTACACTTATATCCTTTGCATTCTGCTATAACAGGCTATGCTGACTCTGTGCTACTGTTACATCCATCATAAACCTCAATAATAGCTCTGGACATCTCAAGTTCCAAATAAGAATCAGTGAACTTGTATAGAATAATCCATGTTCCACACAAAACCTTCTGACACTCCTGGCCGAAAACCTTATCTGGACCCCTAACTGAGAAGAAAGTACATCACTGATATCAATGGATGACATGCTCTGTTTTGCCATATGTAAAATAAATCTGGCATAAAGCCATTTTACTGAGGCTGTACTGACCATTTCTGCAGCAAAACTGAAATCCAGGGTAGCTGTGAGGGGGGTGCGCATATAGCAGTGGTTTTTTAACACTAGTCCCGGGGACCCACTGGCCAGCACAGTCTCTGCCCAACACACCTGATCCATCTCATGAGGTAATTATTAAGCTCTTCATTAACCTGATGAAGTGTGTTGGAGCTGAGAATACCTGAAACTGTATAGGGCAGTGTGTCCCCAAGGCTGGAGCTGAGAGGATACATGAAGGTTTACCTTATATATAATCTTTGCTATAGCCTACCCACACCTACAGCAACTAAAGCAGGGGTTCCCAACCCTTGTCCTTAATTACCCCAAGCTCCACACATTTTAGTGTTTTCCCTGCTCCTAACACATTCGATCCAACTAATGAGCTCATTAATATGCCCTTCATGACTTGATGTGAGTTTGTTGGGAGCAGGGGGTACACCATGATGAGGGTTGGAAACCTGTGAAGTAAAGCAAAGTGTTTGAAGGATCGTTTGAAATGATCATTAGCTCATTTTCCAGTTGTACATTAGCTACAAATGTGGTGCTGTTTTGTATAATCAAGCAGGTATATGACTTTGGAATATTCCATATTTTAATTCTGGCTTGCAACAGACACCGAGTGGTTTTCACCGATTTTAAGATAAACCAAACAAGAAAACTGAAGCTAAATGGCTCGACGTGCAGACTGGCAAAGCGCTACATGCAAGACATATGTAATAAGCCTGCATTCTGTGTTCTTACGAACTTACGTGTACTCTGCATGTGTATTTCTGGTTGAAGTGATAGGAAATATGTATGTAAATGAAAAGTGTTTTAATATTTACTTATTAAACCTCCTGTAATAAGTACTTAATGTATTATTTTGGAACAACTAAGACAATTTAAGTGTATTTAAACTATAAATAAACTGATTAGATATATATTACATTTATTTAGTAGTGCTTTTGAGTGTTTTTTTTTAACAAATAAAGTTGCACTAGATTAAAGAAATTAAGTATGTAATTTGCAAACTGTTATTACACTTGGAATATCTTATACATTTACTACTGGAGGTACTGGTGCACTTTAGTGCTACTTATTGGGTTATACTGCTTAAATGCATTTTAAATTATATTTCAATATAACTAAATAAATGTCTAACAAATAAAGCATGTATTTATGTGTATGTAAAAACATAATCATATGAATATATTGAAATATTATATAGGAATAACTAAACATAACTTATGTATACTTACATATGTTGTAATGAAGTTGACTTAAGCAATTGCTACAACACTAATTCTACTCAACATGAAACATACTTTAAATGTACACTCTTGGATGTACTGATACCCAGATTTGATTGCTAAAAGCCTACAACAGATTCATGACATGTTCTTAAACTGCAGGATTATTCGCACCTTTCGGCTCTTAAGCGTGCATAGATTCTGTTCTTACCTAAGAACAAATCCCAAAAAAGAAAACATTGGTGAATGCCAGAATCTTCATGTAAGCTGTGTAAGTGGGTTTTAAGGAGAAATTTCTTATTAAGAACAGTTGTTGAAAGAGACCCATTGTTTTAAAATATACTTCTAAATAAAACACTTAAGTTGATGAAAATTAAACAAGGTTTTGTTCAAGTCTGCTTCAGTATGTAAAGAAATGGTTTGATTTTTTGTTTTTTGTATTGATTATTTTTGAAGTAACACTAATTCTACAGGAAGATTCATTCGAAAGAGGCCACGAATATTCTGTTGTAACTCTCGTTAGGATGAAGCAATCTAAAAAAAATCCGCTACATACCTTGACGTATGTGTAATTGATTGCATTACATGCAATGTTGGAAGTGATCTCAGTTTTCTGCCAGACACATGTAGGGGTACGGGGGTATGCACCCGGAAGTTGCAAACGGAGGTTAAACGTCGCGACGGCTGTCCGGCGCCTACCTCATCATTCCGACGCAGGGGCATCCCAGCTTGTTTGAAGCTCCATATACTGAGGAGCACACTGCACATTGTTTTGTTCAGATTGATTCGTCCTAGCACGAGTTATTACAGAATATTCGGGGCCTCTTTCGAGTGAATCTCCCTGTACTTCTGGAGTTATTCATTATTTTTCACTGGTCTAGACTAATGGTTAATAATGAGAGGTGGACAGCAGTCTCTAGTCATGCCCACTGACCCTTCAGACTGCAACAGATACAGAGTTAGAGGAAAGAATGCATGTTAAGGAAGGCAGGAGGGCTGCAGTCTACACTGAGTGAACAAAACATTCAGGTCTAAAAGCTGTATCTAATAGTAAAGCATGCTGCATTTGAGCAGTTCCTTAAAAGACAAAATTAGAACAATGTACATGTTAATATGCATGCTCATTTTCATTTCTTGGTTCTTACTAAGATTTTTTTTAAAGATGACTGTCTTGCTTCTTTTTCTTCTTCTTCTTCTTCTTGGCAGCGCTGCAGGTATGTTCTGTGAGAGGAGATTTGAGAGTTGAGACCACTGTTCAAAATCACTTGGAATAAAA